CTAGTCTATTGAGTGATTTGGTTCGAGGTCCCGCCGAGCTTGGTGGCATGTTTGTTATGGTACCTCATCACCACCAGCGCAGCATCCCAGCGAGCAGCACCGCGACTAGCAAGTTGGACACCTGTACTGCTGGCCTCGACGCAGCAGGAGCAGTTACGACCGCTCGAGTCGAAGTGCTGGACCTATGTGTTGTAGAGTTTGTACTTCCGAAACTCGGTGTAGTACCTGTCGTGCTCAACGTCGTTGTTGTGTGTCCACTTGGTGTCATGGACCGGCTGCTTGTCGTGGTAGTTGCAGTTCGCGTTGAAGCTGGCAGACTGCTAGAACTTGACCTGACTGTCGTCGGACTAGTCGTGGCTGTAATAACCGTAGAATGTGAGTGGGTTGATAAAGTGGATAATGCCGAGGTCATGTCTGATACAACTGTCGAGACTTGCAGGCCTGAAGCGCACTCTGATAGATCCAGTTGCTATCGTCACTTCGGTCAGCTCCCGACATAATAACGTTTTAGACCGAGGGCAGAGAAACATCATACATCATCGCAGCAATAGGTCGTACCCCCAGACGGGTCTCTCACACAATAGAACCCAGCATCGCATGCCCCTGTTTGATTGTCAGTTATCACTTCTTTATATTATCAACCCCTATTCCCGCCAGCCGAGGGGGAAACCCACGCCCCTGCCCATCCGGACAGCAAGTCTGGCCCGCCCCGGGATCGTAGCAGAACAATACAGCGCCGTTATCAACACCGCACGTCTCGAAGCCCTCGCCGCAGGCTTCGGCACACGTCTGCCCGGTGCCGCAGGAGCCAAAGTTAGGGTTGTATCCGCCGCCGTCTTGGCGGCCGTAGAGAACGGCTGTTGCGTTGAGGATTTGGTGTGACAAGAAACCGTAGAATGGCCCCGTTGCTGTGCTTGCTTGGGTGACGAGCTGGAGCAGCGCCGCGGTGCCGAGTCTCCAGCGCATGCTGGCAGGGTCGCTGGTTTCCGTTCGTCCTTTTTTCCCTTCCCTCGGCGGGAACGTGAAGTGTGGATTCAGTCTAACTGGCATCACCCCATGTAGTCCCGTATACGGACATGAACGATGCTTTGAGCCCAATGCTTGGCTGCGTTCAACATCGACTGTCAGTCAGACCTCTCCACATGCTTGTCTCACATAATTCAGCCTCCGGTTCGATGCATACCGTATCTAGCAAACAACAGTTAGCACCGCTCAGCCCTATCTCTCAATCAAGCATAGACCGCACACGTAAGAGCCCCCGTAGCGGCTCTCCACTGCTTGAAATGGACCGACTAGTATCGATAGCGTCGGTAGCCTGCCAGCAGTCAGCATTCAGCGTGGTGAAGTGGTCCCTTTTTGAGACACCGAAAAAACCATCAATGACGGGAAACGGAAAACTAAGTTGAACTTCATCGGGGTTGCGGCCCAAAAGAGATGAGATGCTATGGAGTGCACCAACGGAAAACACGCAGCACGTGCAATGGTCGGCGGCAGGTGTTCGGAGTGCACATGTGTGGCGCCCAATGGGGCTGGCTGGCGGGCTGCTTACTGGACTGGAGGATACCTACCAGGTATGCAGAGCTCGGTCGTCGGGATAAAATCTTTCTGTTCTTTCTTTATCCTGTTTGTCGGTCCGTTGGTGTGCGTGCGTGCTCCGAAAGCGCTCCAGTCCAGTCCCGCAGCACAGCGGTCCTGCAAGAGCCAGCCATTCACATCTCACTGGCAGTTTCTCCCTGCACGTTCGGCTCAGAATCAAGGCACGCACGCACGCACGCTAAGGTTACGTACCTGCCTCTTCGGCCCCTGGATGGACCCAAAGATGTGATGATGCATTACTAGAGATCAATATGCATGCACTGCATGCCAGGTCACTGCACCGATATGACTTTACCTACCATCCCACGTTTCTCTGATGACAATGCCAATGGATGGGATGGATGGATGGATAAAACCCAACGGCTTCTCTGCGGCTGCTTGCGTGTCTGTCTTGTCGAGGAGGGAGTCGGTCAGGCCCCAACTGGTTCGGTGGTGGTGGCTGATGCCAAGCCGTGCGTCCGTTCGATAGCGGGAACCTGGAAGCGTTCCCGCAGCGGCCGGTCCGAGCAAAGCATTGGTTGGCCGGACTCCAATTCGCTGCCCCTGTTCTTTTTTCTTGCTTGAATGGCAGTTGGAGGGGCGCCCGCGGTGGCATCCTCTGGTGGGGGTGGACATGCAACTTGAATCCATCCCATCCCACCACTGAATCCCTTCCAGGCATGCATGCATGTTCCTACATGCCTCTTGTCTGCGATGTGCCTGACTGACGTCTGTTGGTAGGTGCATGCCCAGGCCCAGGGCCAGGCCCTTTCTCACTTCGTGCCGTCACCGCTTGTCAACCAACATCACCACCATCGCCAACCCTCTCTCGGTGCCACTGCGTGAAGACTTCCCCCGGGCAGGGCAGTGAGTGCAGGTCAGAGCACTGCAGGCCAAGCAGGGCCCATATTCACTCGTTTTTTTCCCTGTCTGTCAGATAGACAAAGACAGCGATGGGCAACGCCCCCTCATCGCCGTCGCCGTCATCCCCGGGAGCGCAATTCGTCAGCGACGCCGCCCGGCCCGTCTTCCAGTCGTTCCCGCCGTGCCACCTCTTCGGCGACACATCCAGCCTTTACAGCCCCGGCACCCGGACCGGGTATTACCTTCACTACTTCGCCGCCGCGCTTTCCATCATCTTCCTTGGCGGCGGGCGAGATCTTGGTAGCGCCGGGTGGTTCTTTTCATTCATATCGCTTGCGGGCGCGAGCTTGGTCGAATTGGCCATTGACGCCGGTGCGGGTGAGGGGGTTGTAGTGCTGGACTGGGCGATCGTCTTTGGGCTGGTGTTTTGGTCGGTGGCGGTCTTCGCCCGGTCGGTCTTTTCCTCGCAGCCGCCGGCACGGCAAGGGCAGGGCCGGGATGCGAGGCAGCTGCAGGTTGATCTGGCGAGGGAGAGGGGGAGCATGGTCGGTGAGCGGGAGGCCGAGTGGCACTGGCGTTATGTGGCCGTGTTAAACGCGCTTGGGAATGACGAGCAGGAGTCAGCGGTGGACGACGGCGAAGGGAGAGATCGGGACGGGGACGCCGTGTTGGAGCACGCATTGTGGCAGTACGTCGATGCGTTTTCCGCTGCCCGGGGTGACCCTTCGACACTCGACGCGGCGGCATTTATCCTCGCCCTTTACCAGGGCGGTGACCGCGACCACATCCACGAGACGGCCGTCCGCATGGCCATCGACAACAAGCAGGTCGAGCTTTTCCGAGACGCACATGCCGAGGCGCTTCGCCAGGCAAACATCCCCTTTGACCAGGCGCAAGCGACGACCCAGACTCTCGCGCGCTTTGCAGTCCAGGACAGGAGTCCAAGGGGACGGCCTCGGTCTTCGGGCTCAATTTTGCGGGTCATGGACGCCCAAGCAGGGGCAGGAGCGGCAGGGGTAATTGGCTGCGGCCTTGGCTTCATCCTTTACGCCGGATACGCGGCCTTCACCGTCTGGCTCCTTTTTCGAGGCGTCGACCACGGAGCAAAGAGCGGGTGCGATATCCGCGTAGTCCTCATCTTTGTCCCCGTCAGCATCTATAGCCAGGGTGTCATCACTGCGCTCCGCGTCCTCGCAAGTATATGGCTTGCCCTGGTCGGCGTGCCTGCATTCATTGTCGGGTGGGTAATGCTCGCCTATGGGGCCAGGAACTGGTGGAGCGAAACCACCCACCACGGACGACGGCAGCCAAACGACAACCCAGCCGGGGAGGGGATATTAGGATTCAGAGCAGTGCCGTACGACTCGGAAAAGGCAAAGGGCAAGGCCGCGGATCCCAGCATGACGTCTCTTCCTCGCCCTGCCTATGTCGCTAGTCCTACCTGGGCCTCACGTGCGAGTGACCTGTTCTACGACGCCACAGAATTTCCGCAGCCGACCGGGTCGGCCATACCTGAGGCTAGAAAGGGGGGATACTTCGATCCAGCGGCGGAGAAGAGCCCTGGCGAAAGCTCTGGGCTCGGGATACGGGGAGGTCAAGCTGCCAGAACTGGCTTGATGAGGAATGTGTTGGCGACGGTGACATCGAACCTGGACTACCTGTTCTTCCTCGCGATAGGCCACACCATCGCGGTGGTCGAGGTGACCATCCGGATCAACAAGCTGGACATGCGCCAGCGTCCCATGACGTCAATGGGTGAGCTGCTTGCCTTCTTTCTAGGCGCGTTTGTCTTTCTGCGCGTTGTGGCGCAGTGTCTCCTGGCCGGCGCGAAGCGACTTCGTCGACAGCAGTCGGCCCGGTGGCACGAGGAGCGCTGGAGGATCTTGTCTGCCCTGCCGAACAGGTGGCAAGAACGGTACGGGACGCTTGGGAGAGTGCCGACACAGACGAGGGAGAGCTTCAGGCGGATGTACAGCCGGTCTGAGGTCAAGAGCGTCAGTAGCATGGGCCGGTTTACGGAGATGATTGATGATGATGGCGGGTAGGGTGGCTGATGTATGGACATGTACTGACGAGATATGTAATGTTCTTTTTTTTTTTCTGTGATCTCTCTAGAGTATATGATACCGGGCCAGGGTAGATTTAGTCCCCGGATGTATTGCCTCCAAAGAGCCCAATTCGTTAACAGCAGCCAATCCGGGCTGGCCAGTGAGCGGCAGTGTAAAGTCAAGTTAGCAGAGTTCCACTGCAGGGTTCGAGGGATGATGGGATTGGTACGTGAGGGATAAAGGCGAGTGGCTGAGAGGGGAGATTGTCGTCAACTCCACAACACATATATACATCAATACAATTTCAAAACATGAAATAAAACTGTGGTATAAGACGCAATAAAACCAACATCCCGCCCTAGCTTAGTGTTATCCATCTCGTTCGGGATTGATTACTTGCCATTGTTCAGTCCTGACAAGAACATCCATCCCCTCGCAAAGGCACGTTGTCTCGGTCACGCGTGGACAACAAAAAGTAAGGTGAAACCGAAAGAAGAGCAAAAGTAAATGGCTTGCGACCTGTGTAGATCGAACACACTACCTTCAGATAGATAATGAAGTTTGGACTCCAGTCTGACGCTCTCCCGGATGAGCTAAGGTCGCTGGCTGTTGCTTGTTCGATGTCGATGAGGCTCCGCAGAGGAGTACAAGGGAGGAGACTGACCCAGCAAGCCAAGCGGAGCTCAAAGATATGGTTGTGGATATCGCCCAGATGAGGGGATCCATAAAGAACAGGGGGGTGAGGTGTGGTTGTGGTTGCAGGTACTGAGGTGATCCATAAAAGGATCCGGTGGTGGAGATGGAAGTGGTTTTTGAATGAAGAGGAAGGGGCACGTTGTAAGATATCCTAGACCTCTTGTTTTTGTTGGATGATGAGCCTAGCATACATCTTGAGATGTCGATTTGCGCTGCTCGGTTTTAGGCTGATAATAAAACGCCTACACAAACGAAACATAAACAATGTGTGAGTAAGTAAGGAACTTGAACATATTAGAGACGAGTCATTGATAAAGGATGCGAAGCATGTACCATGACAAAAGATTGCTAGTGATCCCATTAAGCCTTCTTTATACATGTATGTCAAGAACCTTGTGCTTCAGTTACTAGAGCTTCCTTCAGGCTTTAAATTGTTGGTGGTTGGTTGCATAGGTATGAACTGCGAAGCTTCTCGTAAAAGAATAGCTGCATACCGAAGCAAGAATATTGGTTTTGTTTGCCTTCAAGCGCACAGGTTGGGCTCTCGTCTATCCCTTTATCTGCAAGGCGAGGTTCACAAGAACACCCAACTCCGTCGACCCGTCCTCCCGCACGAACCCATCTTCCATGTCCCTGAGGAGTACTTCGATGTAGTCCCCGGCGCCTGACAGATGGAGTATGTGGCCGATGGCCGAGTGAAGCGCGAGAAGTCGTTCTGACGGAGGGTCGATCGATGGGTGCATGAACAGTGTTCTGGTCACGGGGAGCCGGTCGGAAAATGGGTAAAAGCTGTCGATCCGATAGGAATGTGGGGGCTCGTCTGCGATAGGCTCGAAAAAGACCTCGAACTGGCCGAAGGCTTGATGCATCTCGAGGCTTAGGATAAGAGCGTTGCGTGGCTGGTTGATATCATTGCCTTCGATCAAATGGATGACGCCGACATCCAACATATCCATGATAGCGATGGCTGCTTTTCTCGACTCGTGCTTCCTCTGTAATTATTAACTCAGATCTCAGATACGTCAAGCATAAGTACCTAGGAAGCAGGCATCAAACCAATTCACCATCGCCCTCCTTTGTGAGGGTGTTAGGGAGGATATGTGCAACCTCCAGACCTCCATACTGATTGCGGCCATCGAGTGGATTGCCGTCGTCATCTTTGGCGGGAGGGTGCCTCAGCCGTTGTTTCAATACTTTGCGGTCAAAGGCTTGCGTGATGACGCAGCGGTGACGGTCGCGGACAAGACAAGAGCCTCGTAGGACCGACAGCCGCTCAGGTGTTTCCACAATTTCTTGTGTATGCTGTCCCTCCCGCGGTTGGTCCGCAGCAGGGTATATAGGGGAGAGCTGCGGCGTTTTGTTGGTGGATGCTTGCAGAGGGAGGAAGAAGTGAGTGACGAGGTAGTCGGCGAAACCAAACAGCGCCGAGCGAAAATCGGCGACTACGGTGTCGTCGCTGAGGCCGACGCTGTCGCCAAACATCTCGAGGTCAAGAGCTTTGAAGAATGCACTCAGAAGCCTGTCCTGCGACTCCTGCGAGCGCGCATATTCGAATGTGAGGCGAATGAGGGCGGGGCGGTTGTACCCATCGCCGGGTTTAGAGCTCGAAGCTTGGGGCTGCTGTAATTCAGCCGCTTCAAAGTAATCGACGATACGACGGAACCTGCCGACGACCTGGGCACGCTGCTGATCGCTTGTGAATAAAGGCTCGTTAGTGGAAAAGTCAAACACGCCCTCCAGGGATGACTGGTGACGATGCGACGGAGCCGCCATGACGGGGCGGGTGTATGGTACCAGAACAATGATCAGAGCGCGACAGAACGCGACGGGAAGTTGATTTAATCTTGTGAAGCACGTCTTATTAGGGAAGAAATTCCGCATAGACCAAGCTTGCACGTGGTTCGCTGCGGGGCTTAGGGTTTAGGTATGTACCTACTGAACATGAACGTCAGCTCCGAATTACTCAGCGGTACCTGCAGAGAACACCGACACCCTCGAAGTACTGTACCTTAACCAATTTTTAGTTCAGCTCAGCAGTTTCAGGCCAATTTCCGAGCAACGGTCTGCCTTACCAAAACCCGTTTATAATCGCTTTTAAAACGAACTAATCTTGTCAGGTTCCCGGGCGTTGCAACCTTTATATGCGTTCATGAGCCCGAGCAGAGAATAGAAATCTTCTTCTTTTGGGAGTGTCAGCTCAAATCCAGCCACGACTCCATGGCGAGGTCTTGGTCGCCCTCGAATCTAGGATTGCCGAATTGTCCTTGTGCAATTCTTTTGGGGCCTACCACCTGACAGGCTTGGTAGCGAGACTAAACGAGAATGGGGTCATTCATAAACCGGCTTAACACAAGAGCCGGGCGGGGATAGATCATAGACCCTGAGAATGTTCTTTTGGGGACAGGCAGGGGCAGGTAGGTGCGGCTCTACTGCCAGTGAAGGTGAAGGAGGATGCGGTGGAGCAGCAGCAGCAGCAGCGACAAGGGAACAAGAGGAGAGGCTTTTGTTTCGGAGTCTGTTGCCGTTGCATTGCGGGGATGGGAGGCGTGGGAGTGGGGGAAAGGTGAAGTAGGTCGGTGGTTGTCAAGTGGAAGTGATGTGTGACACGCCGTGGGGGAACCAGAGAACAAGGTACCTCTACCGGTACTCTACATTTGGATGTTATCGAGGCATATTAGGGGCAGATTCTTTACCCTATCCCAAAGTGAAAGCATGTATCTAGATAGACGTTCAAGGCTTACGTGACGCCTCGTCGTCTTTACACACGCTCGCCGAAGAGGCGTCGACTGGAGGTCAAAGATATCCGGGTAGATACTAACAGCATAGACAAAAACGAGAGTGAGAAGATATCTCATTGTAGAGGTACTGATCTCTGCGGGTCTACACGGTCACACAACCCCTCCCTCGATGATGGCCTCTGAACCACGGGTTATCTCTCTACCAATCATTCCGTCCCTCATCGAACGCCTTGAAGAACAGCAGACCGGCGAATGAAAGGTAGTAGCAGGCAGTTCGACCGGTGAAGGCCTCCTGACAGTTCCGAACTAATCTGCAATGTGCAACCAGCACGTCGCAAGACCGCCGCCAGCCAAACAGGACAGCCCCATTTCCCCCCAAGAAACGCTAGTATTGAGAGCAAGAGCTATCACATTTACGTTAGTATAAAAAGAGGCTTCTTCTTCAAAGGAAGGTCGAAGTTGTATCCTAAAATCCAAGGACCAGACTCCAACAAACCGACCCAACTCGAGCGTCATTTTCAGCATATACACGGAAAAATGGCCAGCAAACAGAACCCAACCATCATCCAAGCTGCCCCTGTGCCCCATGCCGACATCGTTAAATGCAAAAAGTGTGGGATCGATATCTCCGAGACCCAGGCCGAGTGTCCTAGCTGCGGCAGCAAGACTCCACACAACTAAAGGACATGTAGGCAACAATCACGCAGTACTTGTGGTTCACCTAACTAGAAGGCGTGACCCCACAACCGGCCACACCCCACAACCGGCCACACCCCACAACCGGCCACACCTCACAACCGGCCGGGTTTTCCACCAAAAGGCAACATTTTCAACCACAATTCATTCCACCAAATAAGCTACTAATAATTCTACCAAAATTAGTACTAATATAAATTTGGCTTTTCTACTAGTTGATATATTTTAATAGGCGAAATTACGGTAATATTTATTATATACTTTAGGTCAGAAATATAGTAAATATAAAAAGATATATAATTTTTATTTAATTTTTTAAAAAAGTGTAAAATGCAATCTCTATAGTATATATAAAAGAAACAAGTTTATTCTACCTATATAAAAGTTGATTATAAATATATATATAGATTTGATTTATTATAAAATATTTTATTTAAAAACCTATATTTAATCAATATATAATTATTTTAAAGGATATATTTTTAAATAGGGTATTCTATATATAATATAAATATCTAAAATTATATTATAACCAAATTTAAAATATATTTATTTTATTTTCATTTTTTAAAAATATATTATAATCTTTAACTTATAGAGTTTAAAATTAAATCTAAAATATATATAAAATATATATATTCTTTTTAAACCTTTTTTATTTAAATAATATTAAAATAAAATAAAATTTTATTTTTTTAATATTATATATTGAATTGATTAATTATATCTAAATATTTTTATATAATATAAAAAATTTAATAAAATTTTAAATTAGGAAATATTAAGGTTATCGAATTTATTTATATTTTATATTATAGTATATAAGAATCTAGAATTTCTGAGGATCATAATGATATTCAATACTAAGTTTTTCGGCTTGTGGTTGTGGTTTTATCTTATAATCTAGCAAATTTGTGACCGGTTGTGGGGGGTGGCCGGTTGTGGGGTCAATGCGTCTAGGTGCCTGAAACATTGACAATGACTTCTCATCAGGTTCATTTGTCGCTGCGGCACTTCATGTCGTCGGCCATGGTATGCGGGTCGCCTATTAGAGGGAGTGAGCCTGACAGTTTGGAGCCGGCGCTGCAGTAGATTAGGAGGAGGGAACCGAGCATTTGAGCTCTAGTTCTGTCACGCGGATGAAGATGCGTATCTTTTTCCTCATGAAGCAATCAACTTCCCTGTGCAAACAGCAGCAAACACTTGATAAACCTTTGCAAGCCATGTCCACATGGACTCATTTCCATGATGAACTACAAGCTCTCCTCAACAACCGGGTTTTTTTTTAAAAAAAAGAAACCCCCCTGGCGTATTTCTCCAGGACCAGGTTCAACGGGTGAAATGTCAAAGTGAGTTGAAGCACCAGCAAGGCGCAAGCGGGCGCGCGAGAGAACTCCCAAAACAAATATCATTCACATTATTAACTTCCATTTGTCATTCTTCCTCCATACTTGCATCCATATACTCCAAGCG